ACACACACACACACACACACACACACACACACACACACACGTAAAACAAGTTAAAATGTAAAATATTTTACAGTAGTGGTTAGAAGCTGAGTAAAGTTTAATTTACATATTGCAAACATGTACAAAGCTGTCAGATTCTCATTTCATTTTCAGCAGGAAAAATAAACATTTAGTATCTCAATCTTTTGGCACATAAAGTTTGATTTTGGGTGAGAAATCTTGACAATGGGAGGGCCACAACAATACATCTCTGCTGATGTATAATGTAACATTCTGTGATAGTCCACCAGGGGGCAGTAGAGAAACGTGAAACAGACCAGTTAAAGATTTTCCAGCAGCATGAGAAACTACGTGCAAAATAAGTTACTGTAACTATTTATTTTATGATCTTTATGTTCATTTTATTCAATATGTATTAACAAATGACAACATTCATGCAGTAAATTCAATCTGTGACATTAAAAGCTGATTAATGTTTTGTTGTTTTGCACTCACGGTCAGAGGAATTTTCTCTAATAAACCAAAGTCCCACTCTCTCTGTAAAGCCAAAATTAAAGTCATTGCACCTCAGGAAACAGGACGTCCAAATTAATCTTGAAATGTGCAGTAATGGATAAAAAAAAATCCCAACCAAAAACAGTAAACARTTTCAAATCTCTGCAGCCTGGTGAACCGCGGTTAATATAAAATAAAAAAAGTTAATCCCAAGTCTGTTCCGCTGCCATCTGAGCTGTTTCACTTTGTCAGTTTCTCTGTGCAGGACAGTTGGTGTTTTTTCCTAAAGGATACGCACCAGACACCCCTGCAGGTGTTTACTCTGCAGGAGTTCTCTCTAGTTTTTAACTGCCTCCCTTTCTCTTGTTCTACAGCTTCAGCAGAATGATTGATTGGCCCTTTCTGTTTGTTTGTTTTTTTCTTTGTCAGTCATTGCCAGGGCTTACAGACATTCACTGTGGATAGAGATGGGAATTCTTAGCAGAGCAGMTCCCAAAATATATGGAAGCTGCATTGAAATTCTGACAGTTGTCGGTTGATTTTCTATGCAAAATATTTATTTGCATTTTTTTTTTGTAATCCAAGTTTACAGCTCAGTTTTGCAAAGTTTTATTTGAACTCTATCTACATATTATAGAGGAACTTCTGTTAACTTTAATCCTTTAGTTAAATACCTGCAGCTGTCATTAAAGTCCACGTTTGTGCCAGCCACCTTCTCCACGGCCTCTCCCGTAGCTTCTGGACGTGTGGCGCCATGCCCTGCACATCTCGTCAGCCTTGTCTTGCAGACAGACGGCTAGCAGTCTTGCCACGAAGGTCACTGCCTTTTCAAATCCACCTCTGCCTTGCAATGCACATCCGACTTTATCAGCGTACKACTTTGGTCTGCACACTGCACTGCAATGCTCAAGCTTGTAATTCCTGCCAATAGGTCATGCCAGATAATTAAACTGAGAATCTCAAGGAAGTTCAATACTCTTCCCTACAACCGAGGGGGATTAATCCTTGAAGGTGGGGGTGGGGGGGACGTCTGCATTCACAAACTGGATATGAAGCTCTAAAGCAATGAGCATCTTCGGGTCCACGGTGAAAATTCATGCTGTCTTTAGGACACAAAATGCTCAGCCGTCATCGACAACACAAAAAAATGGTTTTCTGTTTAGCCGGACTAATTTTGGGATGCAAGTGAGCTAAAACAAGTCCTCTTTGACTCTGCTCCTGTTTTTATCTCAGTTCAATTTAAAATGGTCAGGAGCATCACACGGCTGTTACCTGATTGAACGTGTCAGTCGGTCCACCAAAGACAGGCTGTCTGGGTCCAATTTTTTGCAGCACCACTGCACATACGCACTATATATA